TATACATAAAACGTCTAAGATCTAAGTCTAAAACTAAATGTGGCATTACATTAAAAATCTTTTCATGAGAATCAACCCAAAATTAAACAGTCCTTGAGGAGTTAAAACTGGATGCTGGCATCAAATATATAATGTAAATGCATTATGCAAACACTAACCGACATGGCCAATGAAGACCACGTTAACATGTTCCTTCTTGGGGGCATTTGGCTGTGTGGGGGCTACTTTAGGTGTTGGCACTACTTCTTCTTCTTCCTCCTCCTCCATTCCTTCCTCTTGAGGGGAGTCTTCTTCAGCCTGACCCCCGTCTCCTCCAAGGCTGCCTCCTGGCTCTGCCTCAGCCTTGCTTGGCTCACTCCCTCTCTGCTCCCAGGTGTCATCTGTTGCCATCTCCGCATCACCGTTCTCCATGGGCGGAGCTGATGTCAAAACCAACATTATCATTTTACACCATTTATCCAATCATTATTACTGGAGTAGACACTAAGAAAACACCCCGGTTCACAAAGCGCTACGCCATTTTCCATTTCTCATACCAGCTTCTCACTGAGAAGAATGTCAAACAATATTTATATGTTTTCAAACAGCCGTTCAGATTTTTCCCTTCACTATGGTGTTTCTCAAACTACACCAAAATACAAGACTACAGATTGACTATTCACCGTCACTTAGCATCACTCTGCTCGTGAGCGCCACCAAGTCATGGTTTTATGTAACAGCGCCAGAGCTGGGCTTGTGACCAAGAGCATGGTTCGTATTGGTTGAACAGTTTTCTTCGCAGCATAATGGAAAACATATGAAAAACCCTCTCCGTAAAAAAATTGCATTTATGGCACACAAAAGTTCTGCTTGAACAGAAGCATTAACATGTTAATTCAAATTAAAATGTTTATCACATTGAATTATTCACACCAAACATCTGTCTTGGTGTGAACAGGACTTTTGTTAAATAGTTGGAAACTGGAATGTGAACAAGCACAAGTTACTAGGCACGGACTCATCTGTATGTTTATTATCATTATTACAAGGATGTGAAGCAAAATGTGGTTGTGTCTCTCAGCATTTACCTACCCTCGGGCTCTGATACTTCCACATTGGCATCTGTATCAGGACCTGCAGGAATATAAAATGCTTATTTTTACAGCTGTAATTACACAGGACAGTCTGGTTGCTAAGAATAATCATCTTAAAAGGAAAATTGCATGTCAACATTCAACATATTTGCAGACAACAAACTGCACTATTTAATAATAGTATGTGAATGGCATATCTTCCACTTGTGGCAAGACAAAAACAGTGAAAAGGTCTTCCAACAAACTCCCATGTTTTTGTCCAAATGACAGTTTGGTTTTGTAACAAGATCACTTATTGAAATTGCCACTTAATCATTTCTCTATTTTTTAATACTTTTATCATACATTATTGTGTTAAAAACTACCTCTCTTTAGAGTTGTTTTTTTTTTTATTGCAAATAAGCTTGGAAAAGTTTAATAAGCAGATAAGATCACATCACTGCACTTACCTCCATTACACGCTACATTGGTCTTTCTAAGAAGACCTCCAGTGTGCACCTTATGAACAGTATTCAAATACAGCAGCTGACACAAATGCTTCAGGTAAGAGTTTAGAAACTTAGCTGTAATGAAAACATTTAGATGCCTTGACATCAGCCAAATTCTGGTGGTAAATACTTTTCTTGATCAGCCTTTGATCTAAGACTGGATGATGGTGAATATTTCCAGTTTTCTAGTGTCGTGATTTAAGCGGATCAGAGCAACAACTGACTTTCATTGTTACACTGTAACAGCACAACACATAATGGTACATCATGTTTGCACTAAGACAGCATGGGGGCCAAATCCCACCCTTAAACAATCAGCCAAAAGAGGCCCCTCAAACAAAGCAGTCAAGCAAGGGGAAAAATGGTTGTTTATGAAGCGCCAGGCCTCTGATCATCAATATTGATGATATTGGAATGCTAACAAACGGAAGCACCCTTTGAGCAAGTTCACGTGCGTTAATAAAAGGCAATAACATGTCGAAAGCTTCAGCAAACTGTCGAGTTAAACAAAATACTAACCGAATACACTTAATTCTTCATCACCAGCTAGGTACATATTGTCATAAGTCTAAAATTGCTTTACAAGCACCTATGCACAAAGTCTCCACCAAACTGATTCGCTTTCTAGCACGAACAACTGTTACGGTGTCATTACCACGTAAATGAACACTTCTTATTCACGTCAAACAAGTTTTTCAGCTTGTTAACTTGCAAATTACACGTTGGCCCCGTTTCCGCTTCGAGCTGTTGACGGCAACTCTGATGTAACATCCATGCTAAGCTCATGCGAAAAAGCGTGTGTGAGGCTAACAGCTAACGCGGCTAACAGTCGTTAAATAACCGGGAACTCACCCGCTAACTCCACCGTTTCAGCGGAGCCCTTCTGTCGGAAGGTCGGGATGAATTCTGCGGCGTGCACGTTGGGGACAAACGGCTTGGCGTCCACGTTTAGGCTGGCAGCAAAAGCCTTGGAAAGTTGCTCGTCGACCTGGGCCTCGCCATCGTCCTCCTGATCCCAGGAATCAGGGGCAGTGTCTATCGCGTCCATCGCCACACAGCTGCTCCACACACACGCGCTTTAAAGCCACGGACTTGATCACTTTCGTGTCCGCCCTTAGCCGCTTTTAAGGTCACCCCGTGCGTCGTTAAAACTTTCTGTTTGTGGACTGTGGCCTTCCCCCCGTTTGGTTGAAATCAAACAGCCGGTGTCTCTCAGCGGAGGGGCGAGAGAACAGGGAGGTTTGACTAAGCACTCCGAATGAATCCTCGTGTGTGCTGACGACTCCCCTGACCTCGCGGAGCAACAGCGAATGGGATTCTGGGAAATGTAGTAGTTTTGCTTCTGAAAGAATACGAAAGGCGCCTGAGCGGTGTCGATAATAAACTACATTTCCTCATTACGGATGAACCCAATCGTTTGCTGACCTCTTTAAAAACTCTTTAAGAACCTATTTCCGTTCACCGCAGCTATAAAACTATTAAATGTGTGAAAATGTATTTGACGTGTTTAAATATGCTTTTAAATGTATTTGAAACTTAACTTTAAAGTCATATTATAGGCTTTTAATGGTGTGATAAAGCAGCCGTTTTTAACCAACTTCTTCAATTATGTAAAAGTTACCATTAGAAGTTCAGGAGAGTTTAAAAAAAAAACTCCAAGCTATAATTTTTGTTTTAATACCATTTTCTTTATTGTCATTTACATAACTGTTCATTGTAAAATAAAATTGTAATTATAAAAACCACTCTATTCTTACTTTTGACACAATATTTCAAGTCAGCACTTATCTCCCCCAAAGAAAAAATCCCAATGATTTATTGCACCAGTTAAGATAGAATCATTTTGAAAAAGATGAGCAGACCTACAATTACGTTATTCGGTAAGGAAGCACAGTTAGGAAAAGAGCATTTTATGCCCCAAAAATATGGATGGATGTGTTCTAACTTCTAGCTGCAGTGAGTTTACATCTCATGAATAATTCACACAATATTTATATGTTAAATGAAACTACATAATTTCCCCAGTAGCAAAGCTCTTTGTGTGTGTGTGTGTGTGCTAAAACAATTAACATTGGTGTAAACAACAAATAAGGATCTTCATGTCAGTACAGTATATTTAGCCTTCATACACATCCAAAAATGTAACAATTACTCAAAGAGACATCTCCGAAACATTCTTCACAGTGAGAACAGTATAATAATCATTTAACTATTGGTAAAGCCAAAAGTGCTGGATGGATATCTGTTTGAATTAAACTTATTTTACATATAGCAAATGTTACTTATCTCTAAATAGCCTAATGTCCTCCAAGATAATTATTTATAGAATAAATAAATATTCTGCTGTTCTGATTAAAGTGTGATATTCTGTACATGAAAGTGCAATAAGGCTATTGTTTGATTAGAAACAGCTGCATGAAACTTCCTTCTTATACATCTGCCTGTGGAGTGTACATAAAGAAAGACCAGCTTTTGGCAAACATTTTGACATTAATATACATGACGGTAAGGCCACAATAGCCCTTTTGTTGTGTAAATAATGTGTGGAAATGGATCAGAAAAACCTGTCAGACAAGCCTATAGACGACAAAGATAAGCGTCCAAAACCAAAACGTAACGGCTACGTCACCCATTATGGAAGGATATACTTGCAGTGCACATAAAGAACTGTGAGGAGACCCAATATTATATGATTAACCAAACCTTAAAAAAATGTGCAATTGATTATGTAATAACTAAGAAAAAGGGACGCATTTTCAGACATCATTTCCATGAAATTCCAGTGTTTTGTTATTTGCATTTAAAGCTGCTCCTTTTCTTAATTTCAAGAGTGGTTTGCTCAAGGCATCAAGGTCATGGACGCATATTCCTCCATAAGACAAAGCCAACCTCTGGACATCCATTTAGGAGTGGTCTTATCTAAGGGTGTCTACACTCTCTGTCTCATGTCCCTCTGGTACACGCTGGTCTGACAAAGCTGTTTCCTCCACTATGTGGACATGACGCTCCTGAGGGACCTCTGCCTCTTCCGCATCACTGGCCTGCACGTGTGCCGTTTCCCTGAACGATTCTTCGAGCTGGTTGACAGAGCTGGTATCACTGACAGAGTCTGAGCCCGCTCCCTGCCGCCGGAAGAGTTTTTGACCTGTGAATCACATGGTATATGATTAACCCCAGAGTTCTGTAAACATCAATGAAAGACCAAATGTGATTTAATTATTTTGTGGGCACAAAGTGATTAGATGTAATTAGGGCCACACTGATCTTAGATCAAGATGCTACCGTTACCTGGAAACCGTTTGGTGATGGACTTGGGGGAATCAAGGGAAGCTTCTTTATTCATCTGGGCTTTTACAGAATACACAGGCTCGGTGCTGTCCAGACAACCTATGGAGGAAAGATAGATGGTATAAAAACCTGAAAACTACAATTAAACCAAAGTTAGTTTGACACTTTGACATTTTTGTGCTTTACAAACTTTTTTAAAGGGGTCATGAAATCAAAATTCCCTTGATCTTTTGACGTATAAGAGGTCATTGTACTATAAAAACATCCTGTAAGTTTCAGAACTCAAAACTTTCTCATTAGTCTAAAAACAGCTTCTGTTGAAGCCAATCTGCCAAAACCACAGGTTGTGGAATGTGCCACTTTATGATGTAATAGTGTGACTAAACCCCGCCTCCGCAGAAGATGATCAACGCCTGCTTCTACATCACTGCCTGTTTAGCCCCGCCCCCTGATTCTCGCATGTAGTGTAAATAACGAGAGAGGCAAACACAGGTCTGCGCAGAAACCAAACGATAAAGATGCTCCGAAGACAAGACACTGTGCAGTGCCATGTTGTGGAAAAACAGTCTTTGAATCGTCTTCCTTCTGATCCCAACTTTAGGAGAGAGTCGATTAACTTTATTTTTATTGAAGATCCAGAAGATCAGTAAGAACTTGGTCCTTTGCTCACTTCATTTTACCACGGATTCGTTTACAAACAAGGCACAATCCAACGCAGGATTTTCAGAAAGACTGAAACTAAAGGACGATGCTGTGGCGACTATATCGGATCTGACAGCAATGTCGCAACACAAGTGTGAGTAACTGTTTTTATTAAGTGGTCACTATTGCTTTGTCTGTTATTACAAACCGTTTGATATGTACTGAGTGTTTATGCGTTTTTAACCTAAATCACAGCAGCGTCCATCTGTGAAGGATGTAGGCTGTCAAACATACACAACTGTTAGCCAATCATAGTAGTGGGCGTTTACTTCCGAGTCTAAAATCTGCCACACCTATTCAACAGAGCATTCTGATGAGGGGGGTCAATACAGGACAGAATATAGCCTATAACTTCTAAATTATGGTGCTTTTTGATGTAAAAAAAAACTTGATAACATTATAAGTGGACCTCAGAGAACAGTACAAAATAAATAAAGAGACAGATCATGACCCCCTATAGAAAACATCTATACCTTCAGCTAGGTTGAAAGTTCTTCCTTTGACAGAGGCCTGAACTGGGGAGAGCCAGTTAAGCACAGAGCCCACCAGGGGGATCTGTCGAAATACGCCCTGAAAAGTAAATTACATGTGAATATAATTTTCTTTTGAATGATTTCATCAGAAAATTATTATATTTATTAAAATTATATAACCAGCATTGTTGAATTGGAAAATTAATTTCTGAATGTCTTAGTATTTGGTATTTTAGTATTTTGCTTATTGTAAAACCTGATGACCATGTGGTCTATTATCTAAACGGTATCTTCAATGGAAAAAAGAACATGATCCCACATGAGTCACATGATCAATGTCACATATTTACTTATTTGACCTAGAAATCAAGTGAAAGAAAAAAGGAAAACTTCCATCCATTTTACGTCAAAGTTTCTGGTTTATTTTACAGGTTTAAATGAGACTAAAACTTATAAAACTAATATTTCTTGTCCATTTTATGTCATAAATCTTCTGGTTTATTTTACAGGTTTAAGTGAGATTTTGTGGTCTCAAACATTTGGTCCCCACTGTCCCTTTACACTCACCTCCTCCATAAGTTTCTCTTCATTTGCTTTCTGAAGCTGCAGCTCAGCTTCCTGGATGCCTCTTCTCACTACCTCCGTCATGTTCTCAAACAACTAGACACAAACATACACAGATGCATTATATCTTATCTGATTTTCATTGTCTACTTTAATTATTAAACACCTGTCCAAAACAAAAAACAATGCAAACCTTTCCACTTTCCTCAATGTCTTTTCCAATAGATACTATAGTTTCCACCAACTCTGCCACATCCAGGTCTTCTGTTGCCATTCCAATAAATATGCCATTTTTCTCCTCACAAAACTCAGGACCTGCACACAAGACTGATCAGGTCACTGAGTTCATGTGAATTAAAGCAATTCTACAACTGTCAATCATACGATCATCAGGAATTTACCACCAGAGAAGTACAGGTCAGTATCCAGCTCCATCAGCTTCTTAAGCAAGTCACTGTTGATCTTCTCCACACTGTGTTGTCTCTTGTCTTCATCCAGGTCTGTGGTTCTGGGCTCATACCTGATAAAAACAAACAACAAACAAAAGAACTTGTTTAGCAATGCGAGTTACCTTCTTCGAGTGAGAAATAGAGGATATTAGGGTCACTGTATCCTTTTATCTCAGCTGGCAGAATGGGTCACGTTTTCGATTTCCAAAGAGCACAAAACTGACTAAATGTATACCTCAAATGCACTCTGGATAAAAGTGTCTGTCAAATGCATGAATGTAATGTAAATGCGCTGTAAACTGAAGCAGGTTTGACTGCAGAGTCTCACCTCACACCTCCAAGACCGGGCCAGCTCAGGTCCTCAATGTACGAGAGTGAAGCTTGTTGTAGAACCTCATCTTTGAAGTCCTGTCTGAAGCGTAGGGTACAGCTCAGCACTGGAATCATCTCTCCCAGCTTCTCCACAAGTGCAGCCACGTCATTCTCCTGAGTGCCAAGAGCTACACACACATAACACCACTGTTAGCATGAACATGTTAACACTAATTGGGTCTCATCACCGCAAAACAACTGACAAGTCATAAAATCACTGATACTTTTATATCTTTGCGCACTAAGGACAAAGAATAGTCCCCTCAAGCCCCTATTTTTACTAAAATATTTTCTTAAATAATAATAATATTAATACTACTACTACTAAAAAAAAATGTAAAATAATAATAAATAAATATTCTATTACAATATATATTATAAATTAAATATTCTATATATATATATAAACAAAAATGTCAGAAATATATCGAGCCAATTTCCTCTGATTTTTTCCTTGCACCTATTTAATATAGGCTTTAGAGCTTGCACCTAACCCAGGATTTCTTGGTTTATAATTTCATAATTAGCTCTACCCTGTATGTTTCCAGTTCTTATGTCAGTATGGCTTGGGCCTGAACATTGTGTTAGCATTCCAGATTTTTAATTATCTTCCAAATGTCTTACCTGCAGCTGTCATGAGGGGGCTGAAACGAACACATGTGCCCTCATCTTCCAGCTCAACCACATCCACACCACTTAGGGGAACCTGCTGCGCCAACTGCTCACCCAACTGTCAAATCAGATCAAAGCAGTCGGGTCACTCATTTGTAAGAAAAGCATCTCGGCACTCTATTATAAATGCTCACAATTCAGCCTACTTATTTCTCATAATACATTGTGAGTAAGAGAAGCATTTACCCATCTGTTAAGGGCATCAAGGATATCTCTTTCCCCCTCAAGATAGCCTTCTACTGAGCCACCACTTGAGGCTGAAAATGAAAGTTTTGTGTATTTTAGTTAATGTCTCTTAGTACATACATGCGTAATATTTTTGTAAAAACCCATTTTTTCAGAATTCTTTGATGAATAGAAAGTTAAAAAAAGAATAGCATTTATTTGAAATATTTTGTAACATAAACATATTTACTGCCACTTTAATTTTCAATTTAATGTAACCTAGCTAAAAAACAAAAACTAAAAAAACAATTGACCTAAAACTGGCACTTTGCAAGAACGTTATGTGAACAGAAACCAAAATGGGAATAAACAATGGGAGACATGTACAACCAAGATATTAACATTTTGGTTTCAATTGGTTAATCATTCAAACTTTACTGCTCATAAATCATTTTATGTTAACAAGCAAATCTTGGTCCACATACGTTTACTGTATCTGCTGCCATTATATTTCTCTGATGGAAGCAAAAAGAAAAATTATAAAAAAAAAGGTTTGGAAGAGAGCTAGATCTCTTGCCATTCAACGTGTGCGATTGACGAAGAACAGGTCATGGGGGAGAACCTAAAACAATGGCATCGCTGAGCTCTCAATATGAGAAAGCTGACACATGTGGACTTGATTTCATTTTCATTTGCTTAAAAACAGATTTCTTTAAGATAAGTTTTTTTAAGCTGGTCTTCGGGAGGCGGAGAGGAGAAAGGACAGGAGGGCTATGAAGTGTGCTGCGGCTGAAGCAGCATCTACCTCCGCCTCGGTCAGTCGTTTCAGAACCACCAATCATTCTTTTCAGTCCTTCTCGGCAACAAGTTTCAACACTTTAAATAACCGAATTCATTCAATCATAATCAATAAATAATGATTTAATGGTAGACAAACACAGTGCTTCATATTTTCCTTCTAACTGTTTTTGTTGTTGTTTTTCCACAGAGCTGACCTACATATTTGTGCTTTTTCAGTATTCTGCAGGTCTCATATGCAGCGATTCAGTTTGGGCTGAATTAATTCTGACCTCTGATGACCTCAGCGGTGAGCATTTAAAGCCATTTTAATCCAGTTGTAGGGATTTGCCGGGAACAAAACAATAAAAAAAGCACTTGCAATAGGAGACACATCTATAGACTCCACACAAAAAATATAAAATTTCACAGGATAAAATAAACATTATATAAATAAAACAAACATTCTTAATAATAGCCCCAGCTCAGAGTCCCTATGAAATGGTAACACAGGACTGCTTATGAATTCTTTGCTCAGGTAGCAGAGGTCTGCCATGGCTCATTTGGGTCATTGCTGTATGGACCATCTTCTGCTTGATGACAGGCACCCAGACAAGTCCAGTGACCAGGAACATCAGCCCCACAGACAAGAATATAGGTCCTACTAAATAGGGCACATTGCCCACCTGGGTGAAGTACAACAAGGACAGTGCAGTGCCCGTGCCAAAGAGAAGACCCCCAATGAAGATGGCCAGGGCTGGCTTTTTAAAGTGACTCCAGCCACATTTCACTCCTTTGTGGGACATCTTTCCAGGACATGAACCAGCTTCATCAGTCTCAGCTCGCACAGATATGCTGGAATGCATCTTGATCTACCGAAATGTAAGACCACCAATATAAACTCAGCCTTAGAGGATTCAAAACAGAGACACAGAAAACTAAAAATATTGCTTTTATAGAAACATCATTCATAGTCACTTAACTATATAAATAAAAAAAATGAAGTACACTTACTTAGAAAGCTCAGAGCCCATCAATGGTTATACAGAAGCTCTTGTTCCACTTCTGCCCGCCAGTTACTGTATTTATCCACAAAATACAGTGGAGAGAAAGCCACTCCCTGTGGGTGTGTCAGTATGAACATCTGGAGCTGGACCACACTGCCCTATTTGTGTTTCAGAGTAATTGCACCCACAAATACAAAAATCACACTGCGGTTTAAGCAAAGGGCTAAAGATAGTTCATAAACCCATCTTTTACAGGACAAGGGATTTATACCATCTACAAACACTGAAAATATCATTGCAGTTTGCACACACAATGCATTCAGCGATATAGGAATCAGTAATGCAGAATACTTAGGATTTCTGTCTTTGACTAAACATTAAAGAAATAGAGTCCAAGTTAAATAAGAAATATAGCAACAACACAGATCAAAGCATTTTTAAAAAAGGGGTTACCAAGACATCCTTATAATTAACAAATTTCTATCACATTTTCTTCCTTTTTTTTTTTTTTTTAAGAAACTCCATCATATAGCACAAAAGAATTCAACAATTCAAATTTTCCCCAATTTTATATTTTATTGTCATAGAAGATGCTTTAATAACGTGAACACGCTCATGCACTTTGCAAGAACGTTATGTGAACAGAAACCAAAATGGGAATAAACAATGGGAGACATGTACAACCAAGATATTAACATTTTGGTTTCAATTGGTTAATCATTCAAACTTTACTGCTCATAAATCATTTTATGTTAACAAGCAAATCTTGGTCCACATACGTTTACTGTATCTGCTGCCATTATATTTCTCTGATGGAAGCAAAAAGAAAAATTATAAAAAAAAAGGTTTGGAAGAGAGCTAGATCTCTTGCCATTCAACGTGTGCGATTGACGAAGAACAGGTCATGGGGGAGAACCTAAAACAATGGCATCGCTGAGCTCTCAATATGAGAAAGCTGACACATGTGGACTTGATTTCATTTTCATTTGCTTAAAAACAGATTTCTTTAAGATAAGTTTTTTTAAGCTGGTCTTCGGGAGGCGGAGAGGAGAAAGGACAGGAGGGCTATGAAGTGTGCTGCGGCTGAAGCAGCATCTCCCTCCGCCTCGGTCAGTCGTTTCAGAACCACCAATCATTCTTTTCAGTCCTTCTCGGCAACAAGTTTCAACACTTTTCCAATGGCAATGGTTTTCCCTTCAAGACAAAGAAAGTACATATTCAGAACTCAAAATTTTTTTTCACAGAACAGATATAAAACAACAAATCCAAGTTGAAGACGAGTTATAGAGTCGCATTTGGTGATAATGTCCACCTACCTTCATCTCGTAAGGTGAAACGTCCCATTTGAGGGAAATCTTTGAAGGTCTCAAGGCAGATGGTCCCAGCTGTTCTCAGACGAGCAATGCACACCTGGTCCTGTTTGACGAAGCGGGGTCGTGTTTTGCTCTTGTCCCCCGTCTTTTTGTCTACCAGACAGATTAAGGCCTGTAAAGGAGCCAAAGGCACATTTAAACCACTTTGATACAGAACTAGCTGTAAATGAGGGCAGTCACCCGAGCTAAAGTCTGCAGGGCTAACGGTCACAGATTTACATCACAAGAGAACTTCTGCCCAAATACTAAATATAAAAACTGAAAATTTGCAACCATTACCGTAATTTGCACTTCTTCAATGCAGGTGTGGATATGAAGGACTGCGTTGTAACCTGGGCAGATGATTGACTTGTGTTCAATGATGACTATCTGAAATGGCAGAAACAAAAGCACAATTGATATGTAGCACTGCAAAACAAAAACAAGGAACTTGAGTAATCATATCTACTGTTGATAGAGCTGAACTTGTACTGAAGTTGGATCATTCTTTTAATTACAGTGGGAGTTTCCACTGACCTGGGCATCAAAGGTGCGCCCAGTGTGGCAAATGTTCTCAGCATTACAGAGGAGGAAGCCTGGCAAGATCTCCTCTTCTTCAATGCCTTTGAGTCGCAACTTCAAGTTCTCTCCCGGGTCGGCATCATCGGTTTCAACATCGTCAGACAGCAAACTCAGCACCTCCACAGTGTGCTGCACACAGTTGAGACAGGCACAGATATGTCAGCCAATTCTTGCCATAAAACCTGATGTTTTAAAGGGTTATGTTACAATAATCTTACCCTGTTGGGCATCATCACAAGCTGCTGAGCTTTGCTGATTGATCCCGACTCCAATTTCCCCAATACCACAGTGCCCATGTCCTGCAAAAACACACCAGAAGCATTTTTTTTAAACAAAAATATAAGGGACATCAGAATTTTTAAATAAAACATCCAAATAAAGGACAGCCATGCATGACATGTGATGAACTTCAAAGCATTCATACAGTTCAAGATTTAAGGGGAAAAAATTCCCCCAACAATATATATATATTATATATACGATTTTTTTCTCCTTCTTCAAAGATGATTTATTTTACACTTTACATACCTTATATTTGTCTACTATGGGTAACCTGACTGGTCCATCACTTGATCTGTTGAAATTTGGCAAGCTGTCCAGATGTGGAATGAATGGTTGAAAATCTGGAATCTGAGGGTGCAAAAAAATCTAAATATTGAGAAAATCATCTTTAAAGTTGTTCAAATGAAGTTCTTAGCTATGCATATTACTAATCAAAAATTAAGTTTTGATATATTTATGGTAGGAAATTTACAAAATATCTTCATGGAACATTTTATTTACTTAATGTCCTAATGATTTTTGGCATAAAAGAAAAATCTATAATTTTGACCCATACAATGTATTTTTGGCTATTGCTACAAATATACCCCAGCGACTTAAGACTGGTTTTGTGGTCCAGGGTCACATATACACACACACACACACATACAACCAAGGAAAGAAAACTTACGAGCGCTGTCTTGTGAAAACCTGAACACCACCACAGGAGAATTCAGTTCATCCTCCACCTACAAACATCAAAGAGACAGAGGGTGGGGACGGGGTCTCAAAACACCTGTTACACATCTGAGCATACAGGAGGCCTTAATGTCATGCTGTGAGCACTACCATGTTATTGTGAAATTGGTCTAGTATTTAAATGTTGTGATGCAATGTCATGAAGAGGCTTTTTGTTTACTAGCTACTGGTTTGGTAGGTCAATCTGGACAATGTGGCACATGACCTAAAGTCAAGCATTAGTGTTGCTGGAATGTCTAATGTGATGCTGGATCCTTTGTTAAAACTAAGAAAAGCTTATGTCATTAAATAACAAGAGAAATGCCCATTATTATCACTATCAAACAATGCTTCCTTCATGATTAATGGGCATTTTCATGAACAAAAAAAAAAACACCCTTAGACATAAATTAAGGAAGTGAAACCTTAAAATTATCCATCAAGTGTCTATACCTCTTTTAATCTCTTAAAAACATTAAATAAACGTTGAACTGTGGTTCCTGTTATAGCTTATGTAGTCGTATCTATCATTTAAATAACTTTACTTTGAACAAACAAACTCTTATCGGACGAGTGTTAGTATTACACAGGAACATCACTGTTTTATTTTGCTCCATCTCTCACAAGGGCCATTTTTAAAGGGGTGCTATTATGCTTTTTCACTTTTTCAACTTTAGTTAGTCTGTAATGTTGCTGTTTGAGCATAAAAAAGATCTGCAAAGTTACAAAGCTCAAAGTCCACTTCAAAAGGAGATATTTTATTTAACAGAAATAATTTTTCAAAAACTACAACAAACGACTCGTTTGGACTACAACGCACATTTTCCGGGATTTGTGATATCACAAAGATCGACGAATGGGACGAGACCTGGTTGAGCTGCACTAAAGAAGGCAACGAGTGTTATCACTATGTCAGAGACACACTAGCTTTCCCAAGGCAGAC